ATGTATTTGACAAAGTGGTACGAAATGAAAGCTAAGGATCAGAAGCTTCTTCTGCTTATGATGTACGCAACAAATAAGCCTTTCGGATTGAGGGCGGCTGACATGTATGATCTCAACATTGTCATGCTGTTTCAGGTGATCAAAATGTCGTTTTCTTACTGTGCAATTCTTTATACGCTTACTTAAATTCATAGTTCATTTCACAATGGCTTTTATTACTCAATTCTTGCACAATTTAAACGAGTATATACTATACATAGAATTAAAGTCGAAAAATATTTAGTTCTAACATTGAAACTGATGTTGTTCAGTGATATAACGAATTAAATTTGTTTGTGAAATCTTCATGGAATTTTCCTTAAGCAATTCGCCCCCTGTTTGCGTCTCTATTGTCGTGCTTGTTGACATGGAACACGCCATAAATTTTACAAAGTGTAGATATTTCAATTGAAAATGCAAATTGCATCATATTTTCAATTTTTCCTCTTCTGCAATTCCTCTCACTCTCCTGACCGCTGCTTTCGCCATTCTGGCCGGACTGCATATGAAAAGGGACTTTTTGGGAGTCTCCGACAGAGGATGTAAATGAAATTCGGCATTGAATTTTTCCATCTTCCGGCCAACCCTTTGGCGGGCGCGCCAACGCGAGTGTGAGTCGCGGTGGTGCAATTGCTCAGTCGGTGGCCAAAGTGTCTGGTGGTGGAATTGAATGGGTGTGAATGGGTCTGGGTGGGATGAAACTGAACCTTCATATGCACAAATGTGAAGCAAATAAATATTTTTAGTCACATAAATTGTCGAGAGGAAAATCTCTCAGTGAAATTCAACTCCTTCCTCGGGGCGGTGCGGAGCCTCCCCGGAGCACCGCACATAAGACGACAGCGGGGCCACACATCCAGAGCACACAGACTGGGTGAGTAAATGGGGAGAAGTATTTTGAAAATAAACGACACCATTTGTGTCATGAACGGAAAATTTATAAACTGGGAATTCAATTTTCTTGTGTTGATGGCAAAGAATTTTCAATACATGACGAAATCGCGCGCGCCATGGGGGGAAATTTGTCGGGAAAAATGTTTTCCTGCTAGGTCGTTAGTTATTTTATTGTGTGTGCATTTCTCAGCACTGCCGATGATGGTGTGAAAACCACCCCCAAAAGCCGCCCATTGCGTAAAATATTCTCACTTCGCGCATTATCAAATTCACATTTCGCCAGCAGAAATTATTTGCGTGGAATTCCTATGAGAGATATTTCGGCAGGATATCCCCATGATAATCACTCGTGAGGAGAGGCTTATTTATCGCGGGAAGTGAAGAGGCAAATATTGGAGAAATATGAAGTATTAGGGATAATTTATTGCTGCCCCTCTAAATCATCCGCATGGCGGAGGATGGAAAAATTGGCCAAACTCCTTCGAGAATTCTCGCTAGAGTATCGACAGGAAAACACCAATTATGGGCGCTCTGACGAGAGAAACGCCCAAAATTCCACCCGAAGAATTCACTTGCGTGGCATTAATTGATGAGGAAATGCAATATTCCTCAAAGCGTCAAAAAGATGGACTCTGAAAAACAGCTCACACCATCGCATGTCCCCATTTTTCGTACCGCTTTCATGACAAAACACCAAAATCTCAGCACTAATGAAGCCTGGGTGACTTTTGAGACAATTGGCTTAATTGAATAAAAATCAATCAGGTGCGGTGTGTTTATCGGGAAGTCATCACCGTGTGATTGCAATTAATCAAGCGCTGGACGAAAGCTCTTCCGAGTGGCTAAACTTTTTCTCGGCTTTTGGCAAGACATCGCTTCATTTGTCATTTCCACTTTAATTGATTTCCCGTCTCGAGGGGTCGCTAAGTGGGCAATTTTCCTTGCCATTGGCTAATTTTTTCATATGCAACAACTATTGTTGCATATTAGAATCAACTCTATTGTAATTTATCTGTCTTTTTTTCTTTACTTTATAGTATATCATGTCTCTTAGCGTATTTATCCGCCTCTTATTAGAACTTTTAAGTGAAATCAACTTGTTTTTTAGTTTCTCCTCTCGGAGAGTTACTTGAAATCTTGAGCTAAAGATTCACATATACAATTCAATGTGTGCAGAGACAGTTATATAGATGTCTCAACGCGAAATTGCAACTAATTAGAAACCAAGATGTTTGTCAATTTGAAAGCTATACAACAGAATTTGCTTAAGCTCATTTCTCTTCACTGCTCTATTGTTTACAACATTCTGATCCGAAATACCATGGGGAAGACAGTTTATAATATCACCCCACCCAAATATTGTCATGTGTCTTCCCAGTTTTGGAAAGTTTAGAGTTGTACATCAGAGAGAATTTATGGGAAAGCGCCGTGTTTTGTTGCAACTTTGCCAACATGATGGAAGATCGCTTAGGAATTAAATATCACAGGATAAACGCCAAGTGTCAATGTATTAAAAAAGTACTCACCAACTCCAGAACGATGAAATTTCATCTAAAAGACGGCTCATGGTGTATATACGATGGTGGTGAAACCTTAAAGTTGTGCATAGTTTCGCTCAAATATTCCATTCCATTAATGCACATTTGCGTTAGAATCCACTGTAATTAATAGAATTTAAATTAAACTTAGAAACACAGCATTTGAATGATGTTTTGTGTTTGAATGGCAAATCAAAGCCAAGAGAGGGGAGAAATAGTGAAGGATTTCTTGATGCCAGAGGGTGGTTTGGCATTCCATGTGAGCTCTGTCCATTATTGTACACCAGAATCATTCCACCTTATGTCTTATATACAGATACACATATATACATACGCAGAACATGTAATGAATTTGTTATTTCTGCTACGAAATCCCATCTGTTATGTGTAAACCCTTCAGATCATGCATTAATAGATTTTTAATCATTCATATAATCAGGAATATAGTTAATCCTATACAATGTGAACACTGTAGGTTTTCCGAAATGTTAGAGAGCGCAATGACATTGTAGAGCTTTAAACTCACGTATAAATGAAATTGAAATTGCTAAGCCGAAAATTGAGTTGGTCGATCAAACCAGTTTGATGAAATCGTATTAATTTGATGGTTCACATTGATATTGAGAGAACAATATCCGAATCAAATCACAACTTTCGATGAAAAAGCCATAATACAGTTTCTCAAATGCCAAACGTAAAATGAAATGCATGTTTGAAAGTTATTAAAGTATTTAAAAAAAAATCCTTGAATTTTGTTTCAAAGAATTCTGATGAAAAGCCACAGATTCTCAAGTGAATTCTGTGAATTCTCATACAATCCCAAACCACACACTCTGTATCCATGTGTATATATATCTGTGAAAACACTTTAATATTGAAATTTGTTTACTCATCGATCCCCTTTGCACTGAGACAGACGTTTTCCCTGACCACGTTCCATCCCAACTCTCACAGAGTGTTTAATGTTGTGCCCAGAGAAATATCCTTTTCTGACCACATTTCGCTTCGTGCCTGGCAAAAACCACCCTCATTTCCTCCTCTTCCGATACCGCAACGCCCAAAGTCAAAGAGAAGTCAATTCGGAGAACGCAATGCGTCCTCGGAAAATGATGAATGGTGCGTGAGGAGGAAAAAAAACCAATAAAGTCCACAAGGAAAGCGCACATTGCAGTGATGGATTTTTTGCCGAGGCCACTTCCTCGTGCGCCTGGTGACGTGTGGACGAGGTCCTCGATGGGGAATCAACTCTTGGCCGGGTGTTTTGGCTGGCCAAGAGCTGGCCAGAGTGTTGTTTCCTCCCCACACCCTCGCCAGCGGATTTATTTGGCCGGCAGAGCGCCGTACAGAGACTGGCGCACATCTAGCCACAATTGTTGTTTTGCAAATGTTTGCTGATTCTTCTGCTAATTCAATATTATTGGCCTGGCTCTCTCTCTCTCTCGCTCACTCTGTGGCACCCTTCCTCCCTCAAGGGAAATGCCATTACCCTGGGCGAATGTTTGGGAACGAGAGTGCGCCCTCCGCAGTGGCGCAGTTTTTCTGGGCCATAAACTTTTATAGTGCTTTATGTGATAGTTATAGATGGAGTTTGTTAAACACATTTCATAATGTGATAAAATTGGATACAGACTTTCAATCTCATGCCATTCTCCCTCACGGTCGTTCCCTTGGCAATTTCCTAAATTTTACTGCTTGCTGCACAATTGTATGTGATTCCCAGAAATTAGCATACACAAAAAAAAGTTGATGAGTCTGATGTTCAGGCAGAAAATCTTCTCAATTTTTCCCCGGATATTCTCTAGGCACGCCGAAATAACAATAAGAAATCATACTGGTGAAGAATTAATTCAACGACGCATGACAATTTATTGGAATGGCCATCGAGCCGAAAAGCCTGGACGAGATTCCTTTACACTTTTTCACTGCTGGCTGACGCCAAGTTTAATGTCTCAATTTTCACGGTTCAACTGGCCACAATGGAATGTGCCCGAGGGTGCGGAAGGACCATTAGAGCTTCAGTCACATGCAAAATGTCGTGCAACCGCACACGCGGGTGAGATTCGATCGAAATTGCCAAATAAAACGTGAAATGGCCTGTAAATTGGCAGATGATAATCGTAAATGGGCGAATTTTGGAGCAATAAGAGCCACAATTTACACACCATCTGCTATGAATTTTTATCCAGTGCGAGGGTGGATTTTTGTCAATTTTGGCCGTTGGACGATTGATGGCGGCTCGAGATGAGAAATCCCGTGGTCGCCAGATGCAGGAGATTTGCATGAGTTGCGGTTTGTTCCTGATCCGCGCCGAGAACGCTGGAATGTGGCTCTTCTGCCGCCCCTCCACTCACGTCTGCGCCCGAGGGCTTTCCCAGCCGGGAAAGTGGGTGTGCATGAGGGGAAAGGCCTGAAGACAGACCCTCCACGTGCCGAGGGAAATCCGCGAGAGAGCCGCCGAGAGGGGAAACACATCTCAAGCGGGTACTTTTGGTACATCTCAGTGTGAATCCACTCTGGACTTTTAGTACTAAAGCGGACGCGTAAGAGGATTGCTCATTGAGGAGCACACTTTGCTCTCGGGAGTCGCCATACGTCAATAAATCCGGAAACTGATTGAGTAATTTGTGTTGCAGACTCCAGAAATTAGTCTGCATCACATTTGCCACTCATTTTTGCTGAAAAGAGGAAGAGGGAGAGAGAGAAAAAGTTGTAGTATAAAACGTGATGTTTTGTGCAGAGACTGGAGATTGTGTGACACGGAAACACGAGCGAGTTTACAAATTCCATTTGCGAGTTTGTGTTCATTGAAAGAGCCATGGATAATTTTCAATAAACTGAAAATTCAATTAACAACTCTGTAATCAAGTCCCCCAAATTAATTTAATTGCATACACTTTTTATGCACAACACGCTCAACTGTCCATCTCACACCCGAAAGCAAGCCTATTTGGTAAATGAATGAGTGTATACAAAAAAAATAGTGTGGATTGCGTGAAACGCGGAAAATATATCACAATTTTGCGCCAGAGTGTGGCTCATGTTCTTTGAAGAGTGTCCCTCGGGTGGAATTCATTATAGTGCAAAAGAGTGACCGAAAATTGCCATCAGTGAAAATTGTATTGGTTTGTGCAATACAGATCAATTAATTTGTATTCACGTGGTAAACATTGGGCGGAACAAGTGCACCCAATTAGGTCTACAATTTTATTATTTGGAGAGCCTGCGAGACGCGGAAATATCCAGAGGTAAGCTATATACATACACCGTGTAGATAAGAATTCTGTGACTGCAAGAAAGTCGCTCCGTCATGACAAAAAGTTGCACAAATGTCTTGCATTAACTTTCCTCATCCAATGAGTGTGTAATGGGACAGACAGGGAGAAAGAACTTGGGATTAGCGAGTGTTCTTTTGACAAAAGCACAGCGCCATAGAGACACACGAGCGTGAGTTAATTGGATAAATTAACATCGTTTACAGAAATCATCAGAGTAAGTAAATGGGAAAAGTTGGAGAGGAAACTTTTCGACCGAATGACAATTAAATTAAAACTAATTAAATGCACCAATTTGAATGGAGAGTTGCGCACTTCCTTTTGCATCTTCCGCCACAATTTCCATTTCTTTGCTCACATCTTGTATCTTCGCTCTCGCGAGAGAAAGACAAAAAGGGGTTACAATTCCTCCTCCGCATTCTCACTCACTTCGGGAGAATGGAAAATACGATAATCTATCCCCATTCACAGCAACAATTCTATCATTGTCATCCAAATAAGAGGATATATAGGTGATTATGTACATATTTCCATTTGAAGAGGATTTCCCGTCAAGTGGCATTCTTCCAATGGGATCTATGCGCAAGAGAGTGTATTTTTATTCAACAAAATTTGATTTACTGCCGCTCCATTCCACAAAAATCTCTCGAAAATCTTCCCCCTACACACATACACATTGTCATCCACCCTTCAGACTTTGAGGAAAAGTGAGAGAAATGCCGTACATTGGCATTTCATTCCAACCATAAGCTTCTCGCGTTGTCTCAAAATACGCTCCAGTGAGCACCGGGAAAATAACATATTATATACACTTTGCCGTGCACTCAAACACATTTTGCCAACTGAGTTGCAATTGGGAAAAGTGTGTCGAAATTAAAGTTGCATTTTCTTACAATCTGCTTCACTCTCAATACGCTAAAGTGCACCTTATATTCAGCATAATACTCAATTACTTGAAAAAATACTTGAATAGAAATAATCCTGTCTGAATTGGATGATTGTTGCAGTGCGAGTAATTCAAGATGATGCATAATGTATTCTTCATTATACAAATTGAAGATGTTCAAAGCTGTTGAATTATTTCACTTGCTCAAAGAAAACTGAGAATACTGAAAATATTTGCACTTCTCATGCAATTTCACAGATTCTCATGCAAGTTTCAATTAGAAATACAACAGCTGAAGGACGAATATGCACTTTGTACATCCTTTATTATGCGATTGTGCTAGTTGTGTTGGATGATCTGGAAGATTTTCTTTGGTACAGAGAAAAACTTCGTAACCATTTCATTGAAATTGTGTGTAATATTATACTTTCCGCTCTCTTTTTCTCTTCTGGGAAATCTCACGACGTATTTTCAAGTTTTTGTGTCTTTCTACAAAATGGAAAAATGTCAAAGAACAAAATGTAATTACCGTCGATTGCTTATATGTAACTAGCAAATATTATTTTGGTCTGATAAACTTTATTCAGTCCTAGCATATTTTCAAATATTATCTGTTTCTTAAGAGAAAGTTATATACTGTGCATATTCATTTATTTTATTAGTTCAATAAATCAATGCAATTTACTTTATTTTCCCACTTATTATGCTCACGAAACAATTTCCAATATGTGGATTTAATTAAAACATTCCAACATAACGAGTATTTCGCCAATTGGCTAAAATGTGTCATGATTATTCGTGAATAATGAACTTGATTATCTCCACAGACAACTTCAATGGAAATAAACATAAAAAACTTTTTCATTATGTAAATGTCCACATATTTTATCGTCAGTGTGTCTTTAAAAAAAATTATGTAGAATTCTATATTGATTTTCAGTTAAATTTCTGCAGAAGCAAAACAGTGATAAAATTTTCCTCGATGTAAGCTATTACCATAAAACAAGACTCACTCCTTCCACATCTTCACAGCGTCCCTGACCTTTGTTGAATCGATCTCGCTGACTGTTGTTCTTGGCTTTTCCTTTGAGCGAATCTTTTGGAAAACTTTGCAGATTTTACAGTAAATTCAATTGACCACAAACTTCAGCCTCTCGGTCCTGTCCAAATACCACTCACGCTGAGTGGAGAATTGTACCACAGTGCCGCTTATAAATATTGCAACACTCCGTGTGCTCGAAATTATTTCGATTCATGCGAAGGAGGTTGTTTATTAAATTTCTGGGGAGTTGGCGCTTTTGGAATTAAATGAAATTCTGTGCGTTGAAGGCCTGGGAAGCTCAGAGCTTTCACCACCACGATTTGGATGAACAGAGTGTGACCAAGTTCGCCAACAATTTTCAGCCACAGTGTCGTTTCAGGCCACGAAAATTTATTCACACACCCCACAAAGAACCACTGATTTTCATGTTGGTGTGCTCAAGGGAAATTCATATTACGCCACATCCTGACATTTGATGCATCTTTCTGCGCGATTTTCGATTGTGACTATTGGATATTTGGCATTCCGCTGACACGCGAGCGGGCTTCTGCGGTTCAGAGGTGCGCGTACTCACTGTGCAGAATTTAACTTTGAGCTTTCACGGTAACTTGCACGTGTGGCAAACAGTACAGGACGCAATAAATTCAGTACACGCAGTTTCCGCAGATGGCATCAACTCAATTCGCCAATTAATTTTCACCCGGTCACACACGATCACCCTTAATTTTGCACCCAGCAAAATGCCCGCAGTGCCCAGTTGAATTCCTCATCGCATTTCCACAAGAGGGGCGAGTTTATATTAATTCGCGCCCTCGTGCAGCCCGTAAATCTGCCACCCAATGTCCAATTTTATTTGCTCCCCAATCCCCAAAATGATGTTTGTGTTTGTCCACGGTTGTCAATACAGCGCCGCGGCCTGAACTGAATTTTTGACCACCCTCGACGTGATTCGGGTCGTTGGATGTTTTATTTATCAAAAACACGCCCGCGAATTATATTGCAATTTGCCTCCGGCGCAATTTTGAGAGAGTGAAAACTTTTCTGCAAAACAAGAGTGGATGAGAAAGTGGCCGAAATTGCCTTTATGTCCTGGTTTTTGTGGCACTATCTGATTCATTCTTGTATTTCTTGGTCCAAATTGCCATGCGAATAGCGTGATTGCAGCAAAACAAGGTGAGTTTTATCCCTCAGCGTGATATCACATTATGAGCAACATTTTTGTTGTGTCAAATACTTGTACAGCCATAAATGCAACAAATCCATTGACCCACATAAAGCTTGCGGCTGTGAGAAGTCTAATAAGCTTTCGGTGCGTGTTTGCTTTTAATTAATACGACCACGCGGTGTACATGGTCGCAATTATCATTACATAAAACGCATAATTATCGCAATGAATGCAATTTGTCGAAAATACTCTGTTGACTATATTCAACTTGCACCCCACAATTTTTAGCCCATTGCCACATTATTTAATCCCCACTCAGGCGCGCTGTTGCATTTATAATCATATGGCAAATTCACTCCTTCACTTCACCATAATTAATTCACTAATACACAAGTCAGACGGACAAAAAACCCCATTCGCTTGACCAGTAAATTTAATACAGTTTGAAAGCATTGTCTACAAATCGCTGAGCTTATTTATTTGACATTATGCAAAACGCCATGGGGATTGAAATTCCACTCAGTTACATTGGTTTCCATTTTGACACAACACAATTTCATCCATGGGCAAAACTATGATGACAATTCGATGCTGTTCAATCTGAAATGCACTTGATGAGGATTAAATTCGTGATGCTGCTTGCCATGAATGGACACCAACAGGTCAAAGTTCGGCATTGGAGAGTGATTTTTGGGCTGCGCTGTTGTGGGACGTATTAGTTAAATGGGAGTGTTATCAGACTGTGACACACGCTAAAACCCACAGGGCAACTTTCTAATCATCTCCCATTCGGGATTGAATTTTCAGCTCATCCCAGAGGCAATGCGGTTATTGACTTTTCGGGAAAAGTTTGCAGAAATTCAACATAAATTCCCGACTAGAAAAAGTGCTTATTTCGTTATGCATGCAAATATCTACACTGACTAGAATCCCAAATGACTCTCCGCAGGGCGTTTTGCATTTCCAAATGCCACGCTTTTCCACGATAAGTTAAAACTTTGATTGCAGATACCAACATAGTTTGGTTACTGACTAATTAACTAACGAAATTTAAGCCGTTAAATTCTGTTACGCTAAATCATTGCCTAACGATTTCCAAAAAAAAATACTTGTAAGTCTTCGCTGAAGCGTCTCCATCTCATTATTTCTCAAAAACGTGCTCTCTGTTATCAAAACACCTCAATCCGGAGCTTTTGTCAGATATATCCTTCAATTCGAGGAGAAGCCGAGTGTTCTAAGGCCCCAAATTACATTTGTGAGTTGTTTTTGTGTGAATATTTTGATGACTGACAAAGTCTTGATTAAACCACCGAAGAGAAATGGGAAATGATGAGAAAAACAAGTCGAGTTGAGGTGAAAAAATTGGCCCCAAAGTCTCTCTCTCTCTGCGCGTGGAGGAGGAAGTTGCACAACAAATATAAGAATAATCTTCTTTTTCTCCACTGTGCTTTGTTTGAAATTTTCTAATCGACTTATTTTTGTTTGCTGCCATGCGAAGCTCGAAAATGTGCGACAGTCTCGAAGGTGAATAAAAATTTCAGGTCTCTGGTGTGGGTGAAAGGTGCCCAAGAGCGCGCTGGCAATAAATAGGACACGAAGGAGAGAAAAAGGAAGAGAATCGCTAAGTTGAGTAAACGGAATATTAAGACAATCCCATGAGCTTTTCATACCCAATCATATTTCAAATGCGTCCTCTCGCTGTGCTTATTGCTCTCAGTGAAATACGATTAGACCTGCCGGATGGCGGAGGATGAAAGGCAAATAGAAAAAATATTTTAACATCTCAAATACGGAGAGCTTAACTCCCATGAGTGGTTTACTTGTGGATCTCCCGCTCAATGCTCTCGGCGGTGGATTTTCCCAGCGAAAAGATACGAGAG